AGGGAGAGACTCCTCCATTTGACAGAGGCCTGACCACTGCCTCTACTCCCTTTAACTCCTTTCAGAGCAGAAACCACCCATGAGGGCTGAGTAGGCTGGGTCGTGTCCTCTCTCCCTACACCTTCATCCCAGTGAGTGGTTGGAGCCCAGATCCTGGGAGCCTCCCAGAGAAAATCCTGATGTGGGACCTGGTTTTAAGGCTGGAGTCCATGATTCAATGGAGACATGTTACCCATAAGTATCACCCACCAGGAAGATGGCAGGTGACTCTCTGTATCACATACTTGAGAGAATACTTTGTTCCCTTGGCTTACCCATGGCAGAGAATGGGCATAAGTGGGGAACTGCCTAGGGGCATGAGGGCACCCAAGGGGACATCAGCAGGGGTGTGAGTGGTCTTGGGTGTGTGGTGATGCAAGGTTTTGAGGTTTTATGTCAAGGACCTACCCTACATCTAGGGACAGAAGTTGTCCTGGCTGAGCCACATTTGTGTGGGAAAAATAGGGAACTATTACTATGTAATTCCCCCTGCTCCTCAGCAATGGTGACCTGGAAGTTATTATGACATTAGTGGACCTGCATCAAGGGCTCCATGCAGGCTTCTGTAAGAACTTCCCATGAGCTGGCTCAGGGTCATTGCTACGTCCTGAGGCTTTTTGGTGCTCAGAGCCTAATTCCCCTCAACACTGAGGCCTTAGGTAAAAATGCCCCCTTTTTAAATTGTGGTATAAGAAGCCTCCAGCAAAACTTTGCTCAATCTCCTAGAAACAATGAAGCTCCTATTTCCCTCCTTGAAAAGTTCCCAGGCAGCTCAGAGCTTATCTCTGACAAGTGTTCTGAGCCTCTTACAGATCTGTTGTGTGAATTTCCTTCATGGTTTCCTCACATTACTTTCACATCTCTGAATTTCATATTGGTGAAGAATTGAGGTGGGTCCTGAATTTAAGAGCTTGTGAGGTTGACAGTGCTGGTGTTTCCTGGACAGCCCAGCTCTTAGGAGTGACTAGGAGAGGGGGAGAGAGGGCGGAACTGAGCTGCACAGAGAGAGAGGAGGGCATTTTAGGAACAAAGGCTGGGAGCAGAGGGTATCCAGTCCCAGAGTGGGGTTTCTAGTCTGAGGAGAGAGGACTCAGGGTAGACAGAGGCTGTAGACCAGGGCAGGGCCAGAGGGCATATTTGCAGGCCCAGTCAGGAGAACTCCATCCAGGAAGGAGGTAGGGAGTGGGGATCCTGCTGGGAGAAGGCAGGGGGAAAGGAGTGGTCACAGAGACTGATATTTGATGACCAGACTTCTCATGCCTTGGACTGTTTCCTGGGGAGATGCCCAGGGAGCCTGTTTGCCTCTCCCTGGGGCAACTTCTCCACTGGGTGCAGGAACCCCCACACCTCTGAGAACCCAGGAAGAATGTCAAGTCAAATATGAGACAAGAAATAATGAGATGGGGAGGGTTTCTGATTGACCATGAGAATATTTATTGAGAGTTTATTGGTTGCAGGGAGAAGGGCTGGATCACTTGAGTGAAGGGAGACCCCTCCACTGGGATCCTGAGCTCCAAGGTCCCATGCATCATAGGAGGGCTGGAACTAAGAACACTGTGCATGGGCCACTGTCTGGTCCATGGTACTTCCTTCATGCATGACCTGGCAGCTGTAATTGCGGTGAGATTTACACTGTTCGGGTGTCAGGGTCAGGTAGCTGCTGGCCACGTCCTTGCTGCTCTGTTTGGAGGGCTTGGCGGTCTACATGCCCTAGATGACAAAGGTACCATCTGCCTTCCAGGCCACAATCATGACTGCTGGGGAGTAGTCACTCATGAAACACACCAGTATGACTTTGCTGACTTGGTCTTCCTCAGAGGAGCATGAGAACAGAGTGACAGAGGACTCCTAGACCCAAATAAAGAGTGCTTCTATGTGAGGAGGACCACCTCTTTATCCTCCATTCCCCAGACCTGCCCTGTGACTAGGGGTGGCTGACCCTGGCCTCCCAAGCATTGTGCTGACTTGTAGGGGTAGAGGATGGGCAGGATGTCAGAGGCCTAGTGTTTCTGATGTCAGATGAACTGGGTACAAGGCTAAGGTCTAGGATAGGGACCTCAAGCTGGGCCCTTGCTAGACTGAGGTCAGGTCAGTGAAGGGTGGGGGAAACAATGACTTTCTAGTGGGATACTCCCTGTGCCCATCTCTTGGGAAGTTGCAGGCATCCTTGGATCTGTTTTTTTTCCTCATGCATCTTCATCACCCATCAACCTTGTCTCTTCTCCCCCAACACTGGATGAAACTGAATATGGGATCCCAAATCCCCTCTGGTATTTGTCTGTTTTGGCATGTATGCCTGAACATCTTCCACCAGTTCTTCCTGTGCTCATTGGTTTCTGAGAATGTCTACCTGTCCTTGGTCCAGGCTCTTCTCTCTCACAGGGAAGGAATTTCTTGTCACACACCCACAGCCACCAACATTGCAGCCCCAATCGCACCTCCCTACAGGGCTACCTTGTGGCATGGGGTGTCAGTAGTAGGGGCTATATTTCAAGGAGTACAATGGACTGAGGGCCTCTGTTTGAGGTTTTTTTTCTTCCAGCTCTGAACCTGAGTTTGTCCTTACTCTACAGACTCCCCATCATGGGAAATTCTATGGGAGGATCTGTTTCTCCAATGAGTTTTTTTTTCTGTGGCATAACCAACTGTCCCTGTCACCTATCGCTATCAGATGTCTCTTTCCTGGGTATCTGCTCTGGGGTATTCCTCCATGGGTGAGATTGGTAGGCATCAACTTTAAAGCCTGCATGTCTGGAGACCAACTCTCTCCATGGTATTCTGCCTGGAGGAGGAGGAGGAACCCAGCATCTTGGGGCCACCTTCTCACAGGACATACTTCCTCCATCATCGTCCCCTTCCCATTTCCTCCCTCATCTCTCCATGTCCCCAGTCAATGGCCTCCCATCAAGGTGTGTAAAGTAACCTCATAGCTGGGCCCCATGGAGGGCAGAACGCTGGGAGACTGTTCCTAGCATCTTTCCCACATCCCAGCCTCCTGTTCCCCTGGGCCCCTGGGACCAGAGATCTTGATGAAGGGAGTGGACATTCAGAGAACAGAGAAGAATATCCAAGGAGAGAGAGCCTGGGATCACAGTAAGCCTGAGCAGAGGGCAGGAAGGAATCTGTAGGATTGTCCCTTCCTGCCGCAACCAGGAGGGGCCAGGTTGGAGTCAGGCTGGATTTGGTGAAAGTTCAGACAAGGAGTGAGGAAATTTATAGACCTCCAGACAGGCTTAGACCTCAGCCCAACTGAGACAGAAGAGAAAAGTCTTCACACAGTTCACTCAGGGTCCCAAACAGGGAGAGGGGTGATTCACAGAAGACAGTCAACAGGACGTCTCCTCCGAACATAGAGATAGTCATGCACACAACCCTCCTAACACCTCACCCAGGCTCCCCCAGCAGCTGCTTGGGAGGCCCAGGGTCAGCCACCCCGAGTCACAGGGCAGGTCTGGGGAATGGAGGATAAAGAGGTGGTCCTCCTCACATAGAAGCACTCTTTATTTGGGTCTAGGAGTCCATCCCCCACCAAGCATGGGAGAGGGAGGCGATCTGTCTGCACATCAAGGCTGGGGCCCCTGCTAGAGTCTGTCCTGGAAGAGGTTGTATGTTCAAGCTCAGCTTAATGGGACTGTTACCAGGAGGAAGTGAGAGGCCTGTTTATGCCATAGGAAAGAAAAAGTTAGCCCCTGTGGAGATCCATGGCCCTGGAGAGTTCTGCATGTCTATCATGATCCCTGGAAGAGTGCCCATCATGGCAATGGTTGTATGCAGCACTCACCTGTGTGTGAGTCCATCTCCCATCAAGACAAGTTTATATTTGTGAATACATGAGTATGCTATGGTTGTGTATGTTTAAATTCTTGAATTCACGTGGGAATGTGTGCCCAGCATGATTATGTCTGTGAATTCGTATGTGTCATGTATGTATGTGTGTTTTTGTTTGTGAATGTATGGTGTGTGTTTGTGTGTGTTTATATCTGAACTCAGGCCCCCACCCTGTGCTATATCCTGGGACAGTCATTTTCTGTGTTCTTATGTTCCCCACAGAGAGCTCCAAAAATTGGAACGGGTTTCCAGACTTGTCTATGGGATCAGCCCAGAATCTGACTCTTGACTATTATCTCCTCAGCCCCACTGACCTCCATGGACCGTTGAATATTAGGTATTCAAGGTGAGGTCAGTTGTGGACTGGCCACTAAGGGAAAGGGAGAGAGCAGAGCTGACCTTTGCTCCTGGGGTCCTTGACTCCAGCTGGGACACTTGTGACACACGAGGGACGAGGGCACCCAGGAAAGGCATGTGGGGTAAGTGTCCAGGGTCAAGAAGGGGAGGGTCCAGTAAGTTCCTACTCCAGGAGGGCTTTCAGGACAAAAGGCAGTGTCCAGAAAGGCAGAAACTGGGTGGGCCTCCAAGAGGGAGAGATACTAGACCCATGAACTCAAGGGGTTCCTCAGTCCTGAGAGAGAAGGGCATTTTGAGAAGGGAACACTGTCTAGAGTGTGAGGCCCAAGATTTCAGGGAGGAAGCTCATTCTTCTGGAGGCCATGGGGAGCCAGGAAAGGTCATCCCATGCAGCTTGATGTGGACATGTCCACACAAGAACAGCACGTATGGGAAGACAGGCAACGCTGGATCCTGTTGCCCCATTGCTCTGTTCTGAAATATTCTCTGGGCCTTTCAGAGTGATAGTGAAGCTATCTCCTCCAAATTTTCAGAATCTTTTCCCTGTCCCTTTCTCCACAAGGCTAAAAGGAATCTGTTCATCTTTCAGTTTGGTCCAATTTAGGATGGAAAATGAGCAAACCAATGACAAGAGCAGATTATCTGATTGCCAATGAGGATATTTATTGAGGATTTAATGGGTGCAGGGAGAAAAGCTGGAAGACTTTGCGTGGGAGGAAATCTTTTTCCTAGGATCCCAAGCTCTAGAATCCCATGGGTGAGGGAAGGGCTGGGACCTAAGAACACTGTGCAGGGGTCACCGTCTTCTCCAGGATGCTCCCTTCGTGTGTGGCCTGGCAGCTGTAGGTGCTGTGAGATTTCCACTGGTTGGGTGTCAGGAACAGGTAGCTGCTGGCCACGTACTTGTTGCTGTGTTTGGAGGGCTTGGTGGTCTCCACTCCCTGAGTGATGGGAGTGCTGTCTACCTTCCAGTTCACAGACACGGTGCCTGGATAGATGTCTTTTATGAGACACACAGTTGTGGCCTTGTTGGTTTGCATCTCCTCAGATGATGGAGGGAACAGAGTGACCGAAGGGGTGGACTTGGGCTGACCTGTGGGTTTGGGGAGGGGCAGGAGGTCAGAGGTCTGCTGTCCACTTGGGGTTCCTGATCTCAGTTTTGATTTGGGTACAGCCCAGGGCATGAACCTCAGTCTAGGCCTTGCTAGACTGAGGTTAGGTATTGGAGGGTGGAGACACTCACCTCCTGATGGGAGATGACTCAGAGCCTGAGACTGAAGGGGGTTTCGGTCTTCTTTGACTGGAGCTTCTCTTATAAGTTCCCACCTCCTCATTACCCACCTGTGCTCTCCCAGTACTGGCTGGTCTAATCCCTGGGACCTAACTGTCCTCAGGGAACTTCTCTGTATGAACAGCTCCTTTAGGGGCACTCCTGTGTATCTGTTTTGGAAGGTGTTTGTCTGTCCTGTTGCCAAAATTTCTTCCCTTTACGGGAGTGGGTTTGTTTCTCACATGTGCCCTGACACACCATTCCGGACCCCTCCCTGCCTTTCCATAGAGACCTCTGATGGGCAGTGGGAGACATTCTGAAGCCTGTTACATGGGAGACCTGTAGTTCTATGGGTTCCCTGTGTGGCTCTGTGTTTGTTCCAAGATGTTTCCTTTCATAAGATATACTTGGGGTCTAGTTGTCCTAGGACATCATACTGCCTGGATAGGTCCCTGTCATCTGTGTCTATCAGGAGTCCCTCCCATCAGCATCTGCTTGGAGTCTCTTCTCTTAATTGGGATGCAGATATGCCGACCTTTGTGCCTGAGAGTCCTGAGAGCATACAGTCAAAGGCAACCTGCCTGTCCTGGGGGAAGAAGAGGAATCCAGGTCCCTGGGACTGACTTCACACAGGACATTCTTCCTCCATCTCTGCCCCCCTCCCTTTTCCCCCTTTATCTCTCCATGTCCCCAATCAAAGGCCTTTCCTTATCCTGTATAAAGACACCCCATAGCTGGGACCACATGGGACAGAACCCAGGAGAGCTGAGTTGTCCCTGCCTCCTTCGCAAATTTGTGGCCCTAGTGCACAAAACCCAGTCATCTGTTCTACTGGTCCCTGTGGGCCTGGAAACTCTGAGGGAGGGAGTAGAATATCCCAGAATCCACAGCGGAATATCCCTCATAGAGAGAGAGCGAGAGCTCCCTTGAGCGGGGAGCAGGAAGAGTCACTGGGATCTTCCTTTCCCGCCTTGATCAGGTGCCTGAGAAGACTAGACAGGCTAGAGGGACTAGGATTGCAGATCCCAGAGAGATTCAGACCTCTGCCCTAGACAAAACAGAGAGGAGAAAAATATTTTCCCAAGTATTCATCTTGTATCCCCAAAGAAGAGAGAAAAAGGATGGTTAACCTGATGCCACTGCTGAACACATAACACCGTGACTCAACCCCCATACACCCCACCCAATCCCCCTGCAGCTGCTCAGGGGCCCTAGGATCCAGCCTCCTTTTCACATGGGCTGGTGGAGCCAGGGATGGGTGAAAGCATCGCCTCCCACAGACCAGACCATCTCTTCATCCAGGGCTTAGGCATCCATTCACCATCATTATGGGAGGAGTTGAGAAATATGTAGAACCTGTTTCCTAGGTCACTGCATTCCTGAGTAGGGACCCTGTAGCCTGCATCAGCTGGTGTCTGAATGAGATGGAGAAGCTTGTGAAAGAAATTACAATACTGGGATGTTGAAGCTGTGACCTTTTTGAAGAGTTGTATTCTGTGAGGAGGGTCCTAGGATGGGTTTTGAATAGGAGTTGTGGGTGGTGGGAAGGATAACATTGATCCCAGGGAAACAGATTCCACTGCAAGATCTGAGTTTGAGTGCTCCCATCCTATGCTTGGCTGTCCTGAAGACACAGTATATGGTCACTGCTCATGTTCGCCTTCAGAGTCCACAAAGCAGCAGCCTCTCTGCAGGCTGGGCATGCATGATTAGAGCTGGAATGGCCCACATGGAGCTCCTCATAGTGGAGAAGGTGTCGTGGGTTCCACTGCCAGTACAGCTTCCTCCCTGAACTCTAAAGTGGTGGTATCTCTGCTGTCCCCCTAAACTTACAGAAAACACAGGCACCCATGCCCAGTGTCACCAGGAGAGAGTACACAATAGCTTGGGAACACACACAGCACCAACATTGGATGGGCATTTCAGAAAGGAGCTTGGACATACAAGGTCTGGGGGTTTATCCTGGTTTGGGCTCATTACCTGCAGAGCTTTCACCTGTGACACACAAATGCCACTCTGCCCACCCCACAGTATCCCCCATAACAGGTGCTTCCACTCACCTCTGAGCTCTGCCTGTTGCTCCTTTTCCAGAATCCCTTCCTCCTTTTCTAGAATCCCTTCCTCCTTTTCCAGAATCCCTTCCTCCTGTCTCCTGTCTCACTGGACTTGGGCAGGTAATCTTGCTCCTCCCCCATGTCAGAACCAGCCCCACAGGTTCAAAGTTTAGGTACTGTAGATCCCTGAATTCTCTTTGATCCTGTCCCAACGCGAATACTACTGCAGTGTCTTCCACCAGGAAGATGCCCAATATGGACATGCATGCAGGTGTGTGTGTGTATATTTGTGTGTGTATAGAGATCAATTCCCTCACTGCATTCTTAAGACCAAGTGTCAGCTGACACCCATGGTAGAATTCAGGCATCTGCCACTTGACTTTGAACTCATGAGCCTGTTGAAAACCCGTGGTCTGATCACTGCCCTCCAGTGTCCTTGAATACAGGTCGGACACCCCGTGATGTATACAACAATAAGGTCCCAAGGGGTTTTGCTGGGTGAGTGACCAGGGTCCAAGTGTGATCTACTGTCAGTGAGGCTTAGAAGAGGGCCTATGGGGACAGAGGACAGGGACCATGGGGAGACAGGAACAAGGTGGGCACCTCTGGAAAGGGCAGTGCTCTAGGTTTTGATGGAGAGAGATTTACAAGTGTGGAGTGTATAGAATTATAGGGGGAGATGGAAGAACATCTTGAGTGAAGGATGATGCCTACTTTGAGGGCCCATATTAATAGGAATGGAAACATAGACAATCTGCTTGGGGCCATGGATATGGAAAGAATTTTTATATCATATTTGCCAGAAGTAAACCTGCACACATTGTGGCAGGAAGCACAGGGGAGATACCCACTGTGAGGGCCCAAGAAAACAGGGAAGGGTGCTCAGCCATTCTTCTGGGGGCCACGGTGATGGAAGGAGTGTTTGTACCCTAGGATCCAGAAGTGGACTTGTACACAGTGCTGCAGGAAGCACAGGAGAGAGGTAAGAAAGAATGGGCAAGTCTGGGTCTTTATGATGGTCTTTCCCTTGTTTTGGAACATTTAGTGATTGTCGAATGACAGTAAAAGTATCCCTCAGAGAAACATCAGGGTGATTTTCATGGCTGCTTTGTCCCCAGATCAAAGGATTATGTTCACCTTTGAATATGGTTAAATGTAGAATGGAAAGTATATAAACAACAATGAACAAAGCCTGGAATTTCTGATTGACAATGAGGATTTTTATTGAGGGTTATTGAGTGCAGGAAGAAAGGCTGACAATCTGCCATGGGGGAAGACTCTTCCCCTGGGCTCCCAAGCTCTAGGTTTCCATGGGTCGGGGGAGGGCCAGAGTCTAAGAACACTATACAGGGACCACTGTCTTCACCACAGTGCTTCCTTCATGTGTGACTTCTCAGCTGAATACCTTTCCAATTCTATATTGGTCAGGTATCATGGTCAGGTAGCTGCTGGCCGCATACTTGTTGTGCTCTGTTTGGAGGGTTTGGTGGTCTCCACACCTGACAGGCAAGTCATCTGCCTTCCAGGTCACTGTCACTGTGTCTGGGTAGAAGTTGCTCATGAGACACGCCATTGTGTCTTTGTTGGTTTGGAGCTCCTCAGAGGATGGTGGGAACAGAGTGACTGAGGGGGTGGCCTTGGGCTGTCCTGTGGGGTTCAGGGAAGAACAGGAGTTCAGTCTTGGTTTCCACATGGGAAGCTTTGGTCTCTGTGTGTAAGGAGGGGTCTGGCCCTCTATGCCAGTTCAAGACCCTTCATATGGCTCAAAGTGTCTTCTGGACAGTGAGTCAGGTGTTCCTAAAACCACTCTATGTCAGTTTTAAGAACCCTGGAACCTGCCTACCCATGACCTGTTTTGAGACCCTCTAGATTTTGGCTTCCTGTACAGACAGCGGGCCCTCAGCTGCTTCCTCCTGCCTCCTCCTCATATCCTGACCTGGTCTACCTGGAGCTGAGCATCTGTCCCCTGAGTACTCTGAGTCTCCTGTTAGATTCACTCTGGGGGCTTTTCTTACCCAACATATCTGCTGTGCATGCTCTGGGTCTAAGCTTAGGGTTCTGTTTTTACTCAGTTCTTTTTTCTGGAATCTCTGCAGTAGGACCTTTGACCATCTGAGTGAGTCTATCTGCCTGTCCTGGTCTTTAGTTGTTGAAATTCATGTTAAGAGTCCCTGTGTCTATGGGTTGATTAGTAGCATTTATGTCTTTGATCTTAAGATCATGCTTTGGGATCAGTAAACTCAGGGAATCCTGCTTCTTGGGGTATGTCCTGCAGAGTCCCAGTAACCCACCTTCCTGAATTCCAATCCTTAGGTGACTTCTCTACTGGATCTCTTGAGTTCAGGGCCTTCTTCTCCTTCCTCCCTCCTGGCTGAGTTTCCTGAGTACAAGGTCAACTCAGGGCTTTCTCTGTGGCAGCCTATGGAATCCTGCAGAGGCTCTTCCACCTCCTACCTTTTTCTGTCCTGGATCCAAAGTCCCTCAGCCTGGGGGACTTGACCATAATCCTCTGACCTTTAGCTCTCCAGCAGTGGCACTCAAGGTTTTTAGGCCTTTCTAAAGTCTCCCAGGTGGTCACTTCTTCAATGCCCTTGTAAAATGGATCCTCCATTTCCCCTCAATAAAGTGACTCAAGCAGACTGGGCCCACATGAGGAGGACAGTACAGAGCAAATAAATCCTGAAGATCCAATGACCCACTCACAGACAGAAAGACAGACAGACAGAGAAGTTTCAGAAGGTCAACCCATTCAGTCCTTGCCTTTGAGGTCAGAGGTAAGGGTTACAGTTACCAACTGAGGCAAGCAGGTGTCTGAACAGGGTGGGGAGAGATTCTTGCCCCAGGGGTTGGGATCAGGGAGAATGCTTGACCACAGGCTGACACAAGATAGAGAGAAAACAACAAAAATGTTTTTAAAAATAGGCCCAAACACTGGGGAGAAGAGGGAAGGATTGGAAAGAAGACACTTACCTAGGACAGTCACCTTGGTCCCTTCATCGAACACCCAACACTGTGACACAGTCTCATACAAAATCCCCTCCCTGTGTCACCTCTAGTCCCCACCTGCAGCTGTGAATGAGGAAGCTCATGTCCCTGCTTCTGGTGTTGTCTACTTAGCAATGAGTCCTCACAGTTCTCACCCATACCCCACGAATAATGGTATGGGTGACATTGTGTGATGCTGGGTGTCACCCTGGAAACACAAGTTCCTGAGGGTCGTCAGTGTCTTGGATTTGTTTTGCCATCAAACCATCACCCAGGCATTGGAGTGAGTTTATTGGTGGGCATTTTTATCACTAAGGAGTGACTTTCCATGGAAGTATATTACAGCTTCCCTGTAAAGCTGATACCATCCTGATTCCTTGCTGAAACCATGAGCTGAAAGTGGGTGTCTTCCTTCCTGAAGGACAAGACCTTTTGCCCTGGAGTTCTTTGTTGTGGGAACCTTCCCATGAACCTGTCCCTGACTCCATTGTTCTCAGCTCCACCTTCCCTGGGGTGTCCTTGCTGGAATGGGCCTGGACAGTGAGGCCTGACAGGACTCCTGGGAAATGCCAGCTTCATCTTATAAGGTGACCTTGGGAGCATCCCAGCCCCCTTTAATCTGGCATCATGTTTGCAGGGTCATCTGGGCTGGTGGCTTCCATTGCCTTATTCAAATGGGGAGCATGCATGAGCCAGCATCCCAAACATGTTCTCCAAAGACTATCTCCCACCAAAGGGGATGCCATAAGTGGCCTATCCCAGACCTGGGGTAGGGAAGGGATAGGTGAGGCAGAACCTCTTGTTATCTGAGAAATTACGAACCATGGAGGTCCCCTGTGGTCATGATCCCAGGATTCTAGGAGCCGCCTGAGAAAGCTCCTTGTGTGCAAATGTTCATGTTTTGTAGCCTCATTGTCACCATCAGTGAAGCACAGCAACAATGGATCCCAATGGTAGATCCACTTACATAGTGGAGATCACCCTGGCCTTCAGTTTAAATGTTCACTTTGTAGAATAGCCGCACACCAGATGATCAGTTTTTTTTTTCATTAATCAGTATTTTTTATTATGGTTTTGTGGGGGTACAGTTAAGGGTTAGGTGTACAATTACGTTTC